AACATATGGTTCCTCAATGTAACTAAGTTATTTACAAATATTGTAGTGGTTAATTGTTCTCTAGTATTCTGCATGGTCTAATAAGTCATATAAAGACCTAGGTCTAGAAATGCACACATGGCTACTTAGCTGTACTTGCAAATAGCAAGGTCTCATTATTCATACATGAAGCGTCTACAAATAACTTTCTCTAGTTTTATGAGGGGCCTGAAATGTATGGATGCTCATTTCTTTGTACATCGACAAAATTTTTCTTCTATGAGACCACTTGTCATAGTATCGGTTTTGTCATTGTTTGGTAGTAAGGCCACAGCAAGTAAATTTACTGGATGAAATCCTCCGCAGACTTCAAAGTTAATGCGATAGGGCGAAGAAAAATACTGAATAGTGAGGAGCTTAAAATTATTGGAACTTGATCGTAAGGGTCTGTAGCAGCTGCCATTGGGCGCTAACTCAGGTGACCTCAAGAAGAACCCATTGCCAGGTAAGACTATATAGGATGGTTACCGGGTACGGCTATATAGGACTGTAAGGTTTGATCCACTAACACAGGGAAGGTCTCCTACTCTTTTGAACAAGTATGGTTTAACGTGATACAAACGTGTTACCTTATGGAATCAACTAACTCCAGACCTAAAGAATCCTACCTTGTCTCTTCTCTCATTCAAACAAGCTCTGAAAAACCATCTGATAAACGAACCTAGTCCCCTGTAGTAGTTTCATTTAGTGTTTTTCTCTTATTTTAATTCATACCAATTATTATCATCATCATTATTGCACTGTAATTATAACTTACATTACCTTATTTCATTGTCATTAATTTATACTGAACATTATTTGATTATCCTTATTGTATTATTTCCATTTTCTATTGTATTATTTCCATTTATTGATTATATTTAATTTTGTATAGTTTAGAGGAGGAGGGCCTTGTATAAGCATTCCATGCTTCTCCCCTCCTCCTGCACCTGTTTTATCCTTGTTTTGTATTATTATCGTCTGTTTTGTTTATGTGCAAACTAATAAAATCAAAATCAATCAAACATGCGTGGAGGTCCATTTAACGTCTTATCTGAGGGACGTCTCTAACCCAAGCTAGGTACTCATTTACACCCGAGTGAAGTTAGAAAAGTCGTTTAAAGCGCCTCTATCAAAAATCAATGCGCGTGCTAATGCCATCGATAAAAACATACTTTCTGTGGCCTAGCGACCATTTGTTAGTTCTAAGTGCGCATTTTGGTTTAATATGCCATTTTGTTAACAATCAATTTCCCACAATTGTACAATGCATCAAAGCTGTACATTTAGGCCATTTAATTTGATTATATGAATAACATCCTCTGGGAATCACAAAACTGATGCGAGCGTGCAAATAAAAAAAGCCCCCAAAAAGTTTCCTTTATTATGAAATCTAAATGATCATGAAGATTGAACAAATCACTAAACACAAAGATATTTAATTGTTATGGTGAATAACAGACTCTTTATTTTTATTCTTTCACATTTTCTTCTTGTCCTTTAGAATGGATTTTGGCATTCTGTGACATACATGTATGTATTGTACTCTGTACGATTTGCTGTACGGTCGAATTTTTTTTTGGAAACGGACAAAAATTCACGCGCGCTTGGATGTCATCCATATAATCAAATCAACATGGCCTTATTAATAATTTAAAGAAACTCAGACCAAAACATGATGTTAATGCACGTATATTTATTCACTTTATCTCATTCTAAAAGGTGTGAATTGTTAAGGCCGGACTGGAAATAAGCCAATTAAAAAATGGAATTGATTAAAGCTCAAAATTTCATATTTTTTCTTCACCATAAACTGCCCACGTGTTAAAGTAATTTGTTTCGATGTCTGTCTTGAGAGTCTTCTTCCACATATGCATGGATACAATAAACAGGTGAGCCAGGTCTAAAGCTTTAAGCGAAGCTTATGCAAGACAGTGATACACCCAGCACTGAGAAAAGGGTTAGAATAGATGTACAACCCTCCAAAATTACAACTACTAGCAGTCACCCTTTAACAAGGTCAGAAATAAACACTTTCACAATATCGTAGAATCGAAGAATATATTTTGAAGCGATATTTTAAAACGGAACCTGTAAGGTATGATACAGACCCTTATACGTAAGTCCCCTGTCGTATAGTCTAAAACGAAGTTTTTGAATGTTAAATTTGCAGCATCGTACGGAGACCCGTAAGTACAGGCATGCGTGTATGCGCGAATTACCTTCCACGTCTGCGCGAATACCTTCCACGTCTGCGCGAATACCTTCCACGTC